TGATGATGATGATGATAATGATGATGATAATGATGATGATGATGATGATGATAATGATGATAATGATGACGATAATGATTTGTTATCATTATTTTATTATTGATATTGATGTTGTTTATCATCATTATCATTAATATTATTATTATTTGTATTGCTTTTTTACCAAACATATATTTATCACAAATTTGCAGTTGTCATTTACCTTGTTCCCATACGTTTTTACATGACTTTCATTTTATTGACGTAGAGGACGCTATTGATATGCTTAATTTCTATTTATTATGAATACTAATTAGTGTGCAACTTTCGGCTTTGCCGAGTTATGAATTCTTATTCTATGAATTTTTATCTCCTCTCAGACAAAAATTGGGTAGTTACCAGAGGTGGGTCACGAAAACGAAGAAATGGGGAGATATTCACTACTCAGCCCATGGTCTATTAGCCGAGGTACCCTGATCGAAAAGTTTATTCCGAGTACCCATCTACACAGTGAGTCAGAAAAAATGTCTCATTTTTTAAAAGTTGTATTGTTTGAAGTATGAATATTTCATCATGGGCTTCATGATATGTCTTGATAGAGTTATTCTCCCAGTACGTTTAGGTACCATTTTCATTTGAATCTCTGCATGCATGACTGAACATCAGACAATCTATAGAAGACTGCCAGATGTCACTTGCGCCAAGTTACTTGGTGAGGAATAAAAAAAAACAAAGACAGTCAGACAGACACAAACACACACACAGACACACACACACGAACACACACACACGCACACACGCAAACGCGCTGCACACACGCACACACACACACACACACATACACACACAACACACACGGTAACAATTGTTTTATAATTTCTATCTTTTTTCTTTTTTTAGCAGATGTTTCTGCATTTATTGATAAATCAAATATAAAACATTCAAATAACAATACAAGTATATAACATAATTGATTCACATAAAGAGTGACAACTTAAATACACACACATAAAAATGCATATATATAATGAAAGCTTGGAAGTATGGAGTTAAGTAAAAAATAATCAAGATAAATGCAGAGGCCAACTATCATAAGCAAGAATGCTTGAGTCGATAGCATTGATTTTTATCAATATCGCTGAATGTTTAAGTGGCATTCACTGACAATCTATCCCTTTAGTACATATTCACTACCACCATCATATCATCATCATCATCATCATCATCATCAGTTTCATCATCTTAATCTTCATCATCATCATCATCATCATCATCATCATGAAGTGCACATGAATCCAATGTGCTTTCTCAATACGTAGGTACATGAACAATCGTTGGCTATGTCTTTTGTTGTTTACCAATGACAAATTACGAACGATATCGGTGTGCCTGTGTGTGTGCGTGTGTGTGTGTTTGTCTGTGTGGCTGTCTTTGTTCAAAACACTATTTTATTCCTCACCCAGCAACTTGGCGCAAGTGAGATCTGGCAGTCTTGTAAAGATTGTCTGATGTTCAGTCATGCATGCACAGATTCAAATGAAAATGGTACCTAAGTGTACTGGGAGGATAACTCTATCAAGATATATCATGAAACCCATGATTAAATGTTACTACTTCAAACAATACAACTTTTAAAAAGTGGGACATTTTTTCTGACTCACTCTGTACATCACCTGGGAGGAGAGTGGCAATTGTAGATTAATGACTTGCTAAAGGACTATTATATCGTGACGGAACCCTTGCCGTGAACCATGCAATCTACAAGTAGACCATGACAACTCTACACAACCGGACGTAGGCAGTTTATAGAATTTCGCTTAAGCTTAGATGTACTTTTCTACTCATAAATATCTGCACCGGAAGATACAACACTCAACTGTGAACAAACTATGATTTTTCGCAATACAGTACGTACTACTTTGTGTGTGACGTCTTACACCGTGTATAGTATCTGAGTATCTGAAAATAGTACTACATGCTGTACATGGATCGTGACGTCAATTATTAATCCTCGCGGCAATTAGCTCATTCGCATGATACCTTCCGAATGACACCCTCAAAATATAAACACCAGCTAGGAACCTTCGCTCAACAATTCACAAATGTAACCCAATTATTCAAAAATCCAGACTCTCATCTACCGAAAAACGTCTCGCAATTCCTTCTTCGATTCCTCTCCATTGGAGAATTAATCTGTCCTGACACTTTCAAATGATCTCGAAAAGCCTACTTCTTTCCTCAGTAATTTGATATGATTTCCTTGTTTAATGAATTTTGTGTATTTTTTCACAATATGTTCTTTGGTATATTTTTGATAGCCCTCCTAAACAATCGATGATAATATTATCATTGTGATATATCTTGTTAAAGAATATTCAATTCATGATTAATATTTGAGATTTAAACAGATGTATATCAGTTATAAAAAATGTTGCTTATTATGAGCATAATATTTTTGTCTGTCTGCATGTAGCTCCTATAATTGCTGCCCTCTATCGCCACCATTCCATTCGTCGTCTGCTTCTAATATCTGGTACATGTCTCGCTTCGATGGGCGTGGCCTTGACTTCCATGGCAACCAGCAACGCTCAAATGTCAATCTATCTCTCAATAACCGGTAAGAAAATGCTTTATTGAAACTACTATACTATAATAACCTTACAGCTGATTACATGAAAGGTTTTCATAAGACGTTGGGAGGGGAGAGTTAATTTTGGTCCATCCGAAAGACCTGACGCAGTTTCGAACCTGCGTCCTCGGCTGAATCATCATCAGTTTTTTAATTTCCTTAGTTAGCTGGATTACAGGCGCACGCCACAACGCCCCTGTTAAAACTTAAAGGCCCTAATTAAGCCGATATTTATTGTTAAAACTTGTAGGCTCTGTTTATCTTTTGCCTGTAACAACTCTCCTTATAATAGATATAAACCTAAATCAAGCCTCAATTTCTTCAGTATACGAGTTTCATTACTGCAAAATCAAGGAGAATAGATTGTCTATAAAGTCTGAATCAAAATTGACTTATGTTTAGGTCGTACCCGGCTTTCCAACACTCAATTGTACATTGTTCAACTTAAGTTGAAGTTACTATCGACCGTAATTTTTAGGCGAATGGCTTCCCATGTTTCGGACCATACATCGTTAATAAAAAAAATACATATGGACCGTCAACTAAAAGGTTGAGAACCCCTGTTATAAAGCTTCTCGTTGTGTAAACACAAACAATTTGTAACTCATATGGCGGCCATTTTAGATTTGACCAAAATTGTGGCTCTAGGGGACACCCTTCTTGACATCAAATCAATTGCGTGGCATCAGCAAATGTGGTGCGTTTAGAAATTTGCAACAAACTGCCCCATTTCCCCTCCGAACATCCCCAACTACCTGTAACTTGTACAAGTATCGGTAGTATGTAGTACTCATTTGAATATTTGATGTGCAATCGTGCGACATTGTATTAAATGGCATGATGCCATAACAATATTTACCTTTTTTCGTATTATAATTTAGAAAATCGATGTTTGTTCCATAGAATACTTATACGCAACTCGCGGTCATACACTGTAGGTAAACGGGGCCAAAATAGCGCTGAGATAAATGCACAGTATATAGTACGGCCCCTGTAGCGCAAACTCTCAGCAACCACATATTTCAAATTGGAAGAATATTTAGTAGAAACATTCGATACACTGTCAACAGAACATTGCAAATACGAAATTATTAATTACAAATATAAAGATCTTAATTTAAATTGCAATATGACGACGCCTTAACCTCTGCTTAGCTACAACAATCATGTTATTACATGTACACTTCGAGCCCCTTCAGGATTGAAATAACATATTTTTTAAATACGAATATGGGATATAGATGATAGGGAGATGTGAGTTTGGTCAGCTCTCTGTCTTCACCAACGAACTGGCCCAGGTGACCCCGGTTTGAAACTGAGTCACGTCTTTCGGATAGTGACGTCAAAGGTCGGTCCCCAGGCGTACATCCTCATATCTGATTCAACCACAACTGTAAAGCCCAGATTAGGCACAGACACATATGCTCATTCGTACATACCACCTAATTACAGTAACATAAATCCACTATAATGATAATGAAAAAAATAATGATCATAATAATAATATTTAATTTTTATATAGCGCTTAATACAAATGTCTCTAAGCGCTTTAACAATATACTATTGCCCCGGTCATTGAATTCAGTGCTTGCCCGCACACACTGTGTGCACAATCTCCACTCCCGGGGAGCATTTCAGCCGGGCGTTTCTTGACGCTCACAAGCTGTTTGACCGACAATGACGGCCGCATCCTACCGGGTACCCATTTGACACCTGGGTGGAGAGTAGCAAGTGCAGGTTAATATCTTGCCAAAGGATATTAGTGCCGTGTCGGGATTCGAACCCTCGACCTTCGCATCTCCAGTCAAGCGCCTTAAAGCACTCGACCACGACACTCCCGCCATGACGATTATGAAGATTATATCATAATTCTCCTCATCATTATCAGAGCATACATATGTTTAATGCTTGAGGTAAAGTGAATTCTTTTAAAGAATATTTTCAATAGAATATGGAATAGTTTGCGTACTGATCGTATCTTATTGTGCGTCTCCACTATAAACACTATAAGCGTTCATTTTTAATTTGTTCGACTCACAAAAGGAGCTTTAGCCCGCACTAAAGTTTTCGCTTTTGTTTTGTATTTTAGGCGTCCAATGGCTAAATGCCCGCAGTTCCGACAATCAGAAAGCTTGAACCTTGATAAATTATGATATAACTTGTCTGAAAAATGACGTTCGTGAATTATTCTTGTACCTCTAATTTTAATGGGTAATTATGCTTTATATTCAGGTATGATAATCCAATTTCAATTATCCCACATGTTTTCTTTTTATGTGAAACAGGTCTTGGATATTGCATGGTGAATATATGTTGTACCATGACATTGCACCACGTGGCTCAAAATTTCAACCTACTTTTCAGCATTGGTTTGACTGGATATGGCGTCGGAATGGTTTTGTTACCGCTCATAGCTGAATTCCTACGTCAAGCTTACGGTTGGAGAGGTGGACTGCTCATCATTAGCGCTCTGATGTCAAATATAATCCCAGTTGGCATGGCAATTAAGTTGTATACAGATGAGAGTAGCACACAGAGAAATGGTTTTCAAAGTGTCCCAAGTTCGCCCCCAGAGTTCAACGAGGGAGAAGAAAGCAACAGCAGCACAAGTCGGGACACAGAAGGTGAGTTGGACCGTTATTCCTAGTAGACCAAAAGCCCGTGAGACCGGCAGTTTCATGCAAACGCAATAGTCGGTCTCGTGAACTTATGTCAGAAAAATATGGCAGAAAGTCAAGAAGACCAACATGTCGGTCTTGTATTCTGTTGGTCTCTTGGGCCTTTTACCATGTTGAAAGTTTGTTGGAAGATTCTCTAGACCTAGAGTGTCGGTCTCGTGGGCCTCGGTCTCGGGTGCTAAATTAGTCTAAGAAGACTGGCATAAATTATAAATTATGGTCGACGATATGTAACCATGTCCGACTTAAACATAAATGCTTTGACTGCTAACTCACATTTTATGGACAGGGTCGAGGGTTTTGGCAACCCTTCGAACGATAAAATATGTTAAGAGACCAATAAACTACTTATAAACAGCTGAATAACGATACAATGGTATACTCTTGGAATGAAATAATGGAGTAGTGCAGAGAAAGGAAGTGTAAATATGATAGTTAGTTTTCTATTTAAAAAAATAATCTTTAATCGTTATTAGAAAATTGATGAGAGACCTACATGTGCCTCGTGTACTGTGATATATAACATGTAAATTCATACCGAATGTACTTTTGAGATTAAACTATCTTTTTGGAGGCCTTCATAATCAATTTTTCTTTAAAGGTGACAACAGGGACGAGATTGGAGTGTTTCGTAGTATCGCCAACAGCCTTCGTCAATCTGATTTTTACGTGGATCCTGTGCTCAATGTGGTACTTTGTGCAATTTTCGTGTCGTATCTGGTTTGGGCCGGTTGGCACTCCTTTCTTGTACCGCATGCTCTGCAGAGGGGAATCTCTGTCCGGAACACCATTATCATCACTTTCTCAGCAGCAGTAGGAAATACCTTTGGCAGGGCTGCTGTAGGTGTCCTTACCAACAGCCTCGCCAAACCTGTCACCCTCTATCTATTCCTCCCAATCTTGAACATCGCCGCCCTTCTTTGCGACGTATATTTCACCAACTTCTACGCCATGTTGGTGACGTCATGTATCTCCGCAATGGCAGTAGGAGGGGAGGCGGTGTTGGGACATCTGGTTGTGAGGGACAGAGCATCTCCAGAGAAGTTTGATGTCGCGTATGCAGCCGAAGCACTTTTTATCGGATTCGGGTCGTTTCTTGGTGGCTATTTGAGTGGTAAGGATCACCTTAATCGCATATGAGCCATTAAATAATTTGTTGTTGTTAAAGGGGCATGTTCCACGTATTCCATAGGGCGCTCAAAATACGTACGCGCTGGCAGACGGCGTTATAGCTGCCTATTGACACCAATAGAATACGGCTCTTACGCAGATGGCTTGTTCCGATAAATACACTGGCGGGAACGTGCCCCTTTATTAAAAGGTATAGACCAGTGCTGGTCATGCGATTGCAATGTGAAAGAAACGTTGTGGAATCGATCAGAAAAGGTTGATCATTTAGCACATAAGTATTGGTGTGTCCGGCAAGGTTCTGGAATCATCAAAATGATAAGAAATTTGGCCCAGTCTTGGTAAAGTTACAAACACTGTACACAGAAAGATGTATATGGGACTACAATATATCTATCCAGTCCAGATAGATATAATAATTTACCAAATATATCAATTAGTAGGCGGTTTTCCGACAAAATTTGTATCATCACGTATTAGTCAAAACATCTTTTTTCACATGATTGGTAATAAGAACTTCCATGTCATTTTTTGAGAGGGAGGCGTTTCCAAAACTGGTCTTTACCTTTAAACTTAAATTGAATAAAATAACAAATTAGTTTGATTTCATGTTGTTTCCAGAAAGAAGAAAATCAGTTTGAAAACCTTCATGAAAGCGAAAAGAATGGTTCGATAAGATTAATTTCAACAATTCACCCTTCTCGTGATTTTAATCGTTGATTTGGAATGCAATTTAAAAAAAAACACGATTATGAACTGTTTTGCTCTAACTGCTCAATACAAAAAAAACTATAATGTTATAAGGTTCAATGATAGACAGAACAAAGATTGCAAACTCAGTAGGTTTGGGGTACAGTTCCCTACCGGTTATTTAGAAATAGTTTGCATTTAAGGATTTAATGGATATGAAGACCACACCCATTGGTAGGAGACATGTACCAGGTATCAAACGCAGACGAGGAAAATAATGGTGACAATAGAGGGCATCAAATATAAGAGCTGTATGGAGACCAAATGATGAACAAAAATAATCTTGGAGTACCGTTACTGATTTATATATGATATAAATCAGTGTCTATTTATATCGAATAGTCATTATGAAATGAATATTCATTACACAACATCCGTCATGAAAAGAATCATCACACGTGACTGGTCCATCGAGCACCAAATGATGAAAGGGCCGCATGTTAATCATGTACAAATAGATTGGATTTAATATAATGGATCGTTTTTCCTAAAGAAGAAGAACACTCCGCTAAGGATTCAATGAGATAACACAATGAATGCAAAAAGATCAAAATAGTGACTGATCGAATGAGTGTAATCAAGGGATTTATTCATAGGTATTCAGATCAACATAGTGGATTCAAATTGCTCTCATTGTATTTTTTTCAGGAATGATTGCGGATCACTTCTCATCCTACAACGCAACGTTCAAACTATTAGCTTTCATCGAGGTCGTCGTTCTCCTCCTCATGGTAGTCGTGAGATGCAAACCAAAAGCAAACCCCGTCTGAACATGCTGTATCGGAAGCATCTAACATATATTTTTTTACAGTGAGCTCTGAAAGCGAGTTCGTTCAGAATGTAGCTTCTTTTTATATATTAAAAAAACATTTATTTTACAAACAATTTTGGAACATATTATTTAAGTAATCGATAAGCAACTGATAGATACTTTTGTTTACATGCTGCATATAGTAATACTTTCATTACCAACATATTGTGTATATAATTTAAAAAAAAGATTGTCCCTTATGTTCAAGTATTATAGAGTACAATAAAAATAACATTTGCATTAAAAGTAATCACATGTCCTACAACATTAGAAAAACGATTCTGATCGGTTTAATGAAGTACAGCCAATCGATACGGTTAGTCGATGGAGTAGATTTATGTAGAAGGTACATGTATAGTTTCACTTGCAGAGTGAATGCAATGAATAAACGATATCATCTTCTAGAAGCTTGTTTATGCACATTCCTTTCCCATTGGGAAGGCCCTCCTCCCAGATATTGTTTAAAAGATTAAATGGATATTGACCTGGCATTATTGAAACTCCCAAAGGAAATATATAATGTTGGAAGGTAACAATAACACTTAGAGCAGAAAACAATGAACAAGAAGAAAACATAATATTTTGAACAAAAAACAACAACATAGTTTACCCTTGGTTGTGGCTGTATCCCTCCCTCTGTTTGAATTAAGGGCCATGTGTTTGGTCAATGTGTTTGGTCCATGGAGGGACCCTATTTCGTATAACGTTGTTTATTTGTTGCCACTTTACTCTTAGTTTATATCATTTGTTTTTCCTGTATATTAAAGGGGTTGTAGCATGGTAAATACTGGTTAACGCCATCTACGACTTCTTTTGGACAACTGCATGTAAACGAATGGACTTGATTATTACTGGGTCAGCGCTCTAGCGTTCGCTAAACAGACCGAAGTTCTCCTCACTCTTCGGTTTGCGTATGTTGTACGCACGTGAATGCATAGGCCTACTGCGGTCGCGTCGTCCATAGTCGTAGTAGTATACCCGATTGGCCTTGAGTCAGGCCTCGGAAAAGACAAATAGTCTCGTCATTCTACAGCCCCTTTAAGCTACCTCCTCTCCGGTTCATTTGTACATGGTTATAAAGTGGAGAAAATAGTTTCATTCGGTTAAAGTGTTTTGTTGTTTGCATCTTAATAGATTACTTTCAAAGTAACATGATTTAAATTTTGTGAGAGTTGATTTCTGGGTTGTGTTGCCCCGAGTAGGATGTTTCCCCAAGAGTAAGATAGTAAAATAGTAATCGTCCTTGGTCAAAAAACATAGAGTGAAAATTGTTTCCAAAAATTTCAAACCTTGGAACAAATGTGATATGTTTTATTATTCTTTGTTGGAAATAGAGCATTGACAGTCACTTATATTTCCCGATACGAGCTAGCCACTTGTTTACAGGGCACATATCATTTAGAATATTATATTGTGTTATTCTCAGTTGTGTGTGTATTATTACGCTTGCTGGTAATTAAAAGAGACTACTATGTTTCTAGATGTTTTATTCATATATGATTTATTTGATTATTTTGTTTTGAATTCTTAAAGGGATAGTTGAGTTCTTGTTTCATACTTCAAATGACTTCAGAGTGCATGGTTATTGCTCTTATTCTTATTTATGACATTTCTAGTGCTCTTTTAGGACCTATAATTGCTATGAAGGTAATTTCAGACTCCAAAATATGTGAAATTTAGCCAAAAGGATCATACTAATTCACCTCCATTGTCAAAGAACTATCGTGACCGTTAATTTATTAACAAATTAATAATAACAATACACGGGCTGGCTGGTTGTGCGTATTATAACCAGCACGAAAAAAAAAAAACCAACAACAGCATTGGCTGAAAAAAACGTATAAGGTGCTTTTTTTTTGTCAATTGTTGGTTCAAGTTACCCAATATTTGTGGGGCACCACAAATATTAGAAATAGTTATATTTATGGATTTTTCAGCGATTTTGATCAAACAAAGATGATTTTGTCATTTAAATTGTTTGTTCTTTCAAATTTGATACTCAGTTTTCATTATTTTTTTATTTTTTTTAATTATCTCACTAAAATTGCAAAACTTTACTATCCATTTAAGGAGTGAAAATTTTCTTGAGTGAAAAACAGTATTCCTGCACTGGGCATTTTAACAGATTATTCTACACTTGTTAAACACAGTTTCCTCAGGTTGTAATATTTTGTGAAATACTTGTAAACATTGCTATGTAGCTTCATTGGAATAACTTAAATGTAAAGAACGTCGTAGCGACTGCTTATAACACGCAACCATCGCCTTCGGCCTATTGTTGTCGTTATTGTGAATATAGTACATACTATCAAAATTAGACTTAATAAATTAGACTCAGTGAAATCACGTAAAACCCTTAATTCATTTAAATGTAATACGAATAAAGAATTCTGTCAGATTACATTGTTTGGTCTTTTCCCAGTGCTGAATTAATCTTGAATATTATTTATAGATTTCTATAATATCCATCCCTATATTTTATAACTCCCATACACTTATTTTTTGTGTGAGACATATTTACATCAACATATTTTCATTTTCATTTCGTCATCATCATTATCATCACCATCATCACCATCATCCCCTTCATCATCATTACCATTTCTAAATACTATACAAATAAACTAATGATGTTCCTGAGTGCGAATAGTTTTAGCTTGTTCCGAGAATGAGTCATTTTATATTTGTTTTATATCCCTTCCATCTATATTATTCCTTGTACACTTCTGTAATAACATGAACCTTATACTCACATTCACATCTACATTCAGATCGAAAAGAAATAAAGAAAATTGCACAGCTCAAATGAAACATTGAAGGATGTAAAAATGTTTAGCTGGCGCTAGTGTAGTGCAGTTATCGCACAGCGTAAATTGCATATGGCTTGAGCGCCTTGACACCGCAGGGGTTGACCGCGCAGAGGCACTTTGAAATCATGTACGCGCTCGCTGGGAAAACGCATAGTTCAAGAATATGGGTTTTTTTATTGTGACGTCACGTCCCTAGGGAAAAAAGGTACTATGCGTGACGTCATCAATAAAAATGAACTATTTCGATCTAGTCGGCAGGAAACGTCTTTTACAGTAAAACTATTCTTTTTCTTGTTGTGTACACACCTAATGCAAAAATCTTACGATAAGGGATATAATTCTTTATATATTTTGAAATAATTTTTCATACCCCGCTATCACGCTATCAAGTAATCGTTTATTGCATTGGCCCTTCTTCTTCTTCTGCAGATTTCTTTATGAATAATTCTTCGTATTGTGTTATCGGTTACATTTTGTTTGAATGTTATCATTTATAATTATCATAATTGTTTATCAACAGAATTGATGTATTTCTAGAAATGTAATTTGCTTCATATTTTGCAGACGAAAATCAATTCAATTCAATTTAATTCAAAAAGCTTGTAGTGTTAATGTAATTTTATGCATTTTTGATTCACAGAGGTTAAGACGTCATCATGTTGGCATTTTAAGTAAGATTTTATATTTTTTAATTAATGACGTCATTTTCTCAATTTGCTTTGGACAGTGTCTCGCTTGTTTCACTCGATTTTCTTCCATATTTTAATATTTTATAATTGAAAATCCGCGCAACAAGGATCGTGATACTGACCCCTCATTTAGACAATCATCATCAAATTTTAAAAATGAAGGTACAGGTCAAAATTTGCCTCAGCGCTATTTTGGCGCTTTTTATTTATGACCGCGAGCTGTGTTACTAACTATTATATGGAACAAACACTGATGTGCTACATTGTACTGCAAAAGAAAAAGGGTTAATTGTATTCTGAAATCACGAGAGTTAACAAAGTGACACATAATACAGTACTTTATTGTTATTTTCAAATGTGGACATACCACCTCCTCTAGGGCATGGTGGCTCAGTCGTTAGAGCGCCCGCCTCATGAACGTGAGGTCGTGGGTTCGAACCCTGGCCGAGTCATACCAAAGACTTATAACAATGGGACCTTCTGCCTTCTAGCTAGGCGCTCAGCATATTAGATTGGAGAAGGGTAGTAATAACATATTATGTTATGAAGGGCCCGCTGGAAGAACAGTCTCAAAACTGAAGTGGCTACCCTGGGTAAATAAAAGTTATTATTATTATTATTATTATTACAAGATACTGTTATAATCTTTAGTTCTTATTCAAATCGTATTTTAGTTGTGTGTTTTTTCATGCTGTTTCCAGAAAGTGGAAATTGTGATTTTCAACCTGCTTCAATAAAGCGAAAAGAATGTTTTGATAATAGTAAGTTAATTTCAACAATTCCCTGTTTTAATACAAAAACCCTATTATGTAAACAACTGTAATTTTAAAGAGAAACAAAAAGAACTGTAAACATCTTTTGTAGGTTCGGTGCACAGTTTCTTACCAGTTACTGACAGATAGATTGATATTTGAGCGTTGCTGGTTACCATGGATATCAAAGCCATGCCAATTGGAGGGAGACATGTACCGGATATCAAAATCAGACGACGAGTCGATTGCTGACGATAAATGTTAGAACAAGACTTTTCCAGTACAAAACTAACACAAACAGTTTTTAACTAATTATAGATTACGAAGAATGAAAATGGTTGACTCAGAACTATGTATCTTTTATGAAAAGTTTCCTGAAACAATGGAGCATATTTTGGGGGAAGTGTGAATATGTAAGACCGCTTTGGTAAGAGTTTCAAGCCTGGTATAGAGACATTACTAGTGTTTTATATAAGTTTGAATTTTGACTCAATATTATTCGGATATAAAAGATATATTAAACCATAATTTGTTTATTAACTTTGTTCAATCTTAATTTTTAAAGAACTATATAGTCAAAAGATAAAGGAAACATAGACCATCGTAAAGATGTTTCAAACAATTTAATCAAATTTAGTTTCACTCTAGGAAAGCAAGTGGCTTTGAAAAATAATACAACGAGCATTTTTTTTTTACTAATTGGCATGTGTTAAATGTTAATGCTTTAGAAGATTAATGAACAATGCAGCTGTTACGACATTTTAAAATTAAT